TCCAGAACCTTCCCTTCCTTGCTAAGCAGCCTCAGGTATGTGGACAAGAGCCCTCCTTTTAACCTCTGGTAAGCCCCTTGCCCTAATTACCTCCCAGTTAGCTTGGGCCCTTATAGGTGTCCATAAAGAAAGTTCAGCCAATTGGCAAAAGCAGAGAGGTTGACATGGGGATGTGAGCCATCCCTAAAGAGCAAAAATAAAATCCCTCAAAATGGCTCTTGGCTTCCAGTGGTATGGGACAAATAGAGCCATCCTTTAAAGTTGGTGTTGTTACAATGAAAAAGATGGTAAAAGGGGGCCTCTGAAGCCCAAAAAGTGGAGAGGCCATTAGGGACAATAAATTATTTGCAACTGAGTCAGAAAGCACAAGAGGCATCTCCCCGGGGACACCACCAGAAGGAGACATGAGCTCGTGTTTCAAGATCCACAAGCATGAGAAGAACAAAGCAGAAATGAAGAGTGAGCTACGAAGCCACATTCCTCAGTAACGAGTCCCGCTGACCCGGGGCTCCCGGGAACCTGCCCTTACAGAGTACATGAGCCCTCCTTACCTTTAGATTATATTCTATAAAGCCCCTGTCTAATCCATAAGCCCCCTATTCCAGGGTGAAGAGCCGACTGTCCGGGACTTACGGTCCCCAAGAGCTTGCCACCTCTTTAATTTTTGACTGAACTATTCTCCATAGATAACAAGTGGCCCATTCACCCAGTCCTTCTGAGGGTCTCCAGATATTTCCTTAAAGCAAAGAGTTTCCTTTTTAATCATAACCAATTTGATCACTTATAAAATTTCTTTCTAAATTTTCTATTTTGACTCATAAGTAACCTTTGAATTAAAAATATTCTTAAGTCTTTAAGTTGAATATTAACAGGCTGAGCATTGATAGCTCATCCTAGGACTTCCCCAGCCCATACCATAGGGGCTAGTTGAAAAAACTAAGGACCTGGGTGGTGCCTATGGCTCAAGGAGCAGGGCACTAGTCCCACATACGGGAGGTGGTAACCTGGCCCCGGCCAAAAACTGCAAAGAAAAAAATAAGAAAAAACTAAGGACCTAATTGATGTTGTAACATTCTTTCCCCAAGGACCAGAAAAGAGAATGTGGTTTGGTCACTAAGGCCTTTTCTCTTGTCCTACTAGTAATTCTCCACCCTGTTTTTCTTTTCTTCCTAAAACATAGAGTTAGAACTTTGGGCCTAGGTAAAGGGCAAAAGAAGGTTGTATGTAGAGTCCCAGTTAAGTCTTGGTCCAGCAGTCTGAGAAGGAAGCCTGCAGTGTTAAAGGAGTTAGGTGTACTAACTTAACCATTAATTATTTCCCCAGCCTCAGGTAATTGGGAAACACATAAAGCAGGCGTCCTCAAACCACGGCCCGCAGGCCGCATGCAGCCTGCCTAGTACATTTATCCAGCCCACCGGGTGTTTTTGCTGCTGCTGCCTGTCCTGCTTAGCAGCCGACTCATCCCAGGGCCTGTAGTCCAGCTCTCCAACAGTCTGACGGACAGTGAACTGGCCCCCTGTTTAATAAGTTTGAGGACCCCTGACATAAGGGAATGAGCAAAGACCCGATCTCCTAGCAAGCAGAGAAGTGGTAAAATACACAAGGGGGTTCTGTTTTAGCTTCCTCTCCTGCAGTGGAGATAGGAGACAGAAACAGAAGACCTTTAAAGAAGAGCAAAGTGAGTGGCTCTGGGGTTAAGTAATAAAATCAGCCTGCGACAGAGTTTCCCAAGGCTCAGCCATATCAGCATGACAGAGTTGAGCTTGTCCCAAAGCCCAGGGTCTATAGACTGAAGTGGTCCTAGAGGGTCCACAGGTATGGAGGATGCTGCCTCAGGGGATTCCTGATTCAGTACCTATCCTCACTGCTGTGTCCACTGCTTTACATACTCCTTTTCAAACCTCACAGAGCAATTAGGGTGAACTTTAAAAAAAGATCTATGTTCTTTCTGTGCTTAAGGTGGTGCTTTGCAAATGAAATCCCAAATCCTTAACTGGCTTCCGTGATCCCATATGATGTAACTCCTATCTGCCTCTCTAGTTTTGAAAGGAGCTATATTTTTTTTTTCATACTTAACAACAATTTTTGTTTTTTGAAAGGAGCTATATTCTTTATAATTAGGCTTACCAGCATGTGGCAACACACCCAAAATCACAGAGGCTTTAACACAACAGAGGTTTATTCTTTCTTGTTTAAGCTCATTGCAGTCTAGGCTGCTTTGATCTTGATGCTTTACAATCCTTTATCACAGAGCTTTTAATTCATGGTCTAAGACGGCTGCTTCCACTACACCATTACATCTACATTCCAGCTGGGAAGAAAGTAAAAAGGAAAGAAAGTCCCTTCCCTTCAGGAATATTTTCCAGAGTTGCCACCTCTACTCCCATTACATCCTATTAGCAGACCTTAGTTACATGGCTGTACCCAGCTGTGAAAAAGATTGTTTTGGGCAGCCTGTGTCCAGCTAAAATCCAGGGCATTATTGTTAAGAGAAAAGGGAGAAACATTTGGGAAACCATTTAGAAGTTTCTATTGCAAGAGCTAAATCCTTATCCTCTAGAGTACAATATGGTCAAAATGTCTGAATAGAAAAATAAGGAGGTAGCACATAAGTCTGTTAGAAATACGAAGGCAAATACTAGAGGAAATGGCTAAATTCTTGTCTCTGGGAGACAGGAATAGGGTGGGGCACGGGATTGGTGTTTTGCATACTGTCTTGCAGCACTGTATGATTTTGTTCTATGAAGAACATACATATTTTAATAAAAATTACATTTGAAAGAGTTTACTGAGGCCAGGCCTGTGAGTATATATAAGGACTGGTTGAATTTTCCTTACAGAGCCTTTGAATTTGTGTCTTTATTTCCCACCTTATCAGCTACTGTGGTATTTATTTAAAGGTGATGTTATATGTGTGGATATTGTCAAGGAACAGAAGACCAAAAGGAGCAGATTCAAGACATTTGTCAACAAGCAGTTACACTATAAATTAGGACACACGGAGCATAAAATACTGGTGATGTCTTAAATGTCTTTGATTTAGACATTTTGTCTTATTTTCCTGACCTTGGACTTGACTTACAATAAATGTAAACCAAGAAAATATTTCTAATTGGTGGCAGCACTTAATCACCTAAAGTCCTTTCCCTCCATGGGTGTTTTGTGACAGGGATCACAGACATAGTAAACCATGGCCTGTAGAAGATTGTTTATCAAAATCTGCAGGTGCTAAGGCCCAGATAAGAGGAAGGAGAGAAATGGACCTGAGTTGTTAAAATTTTAGAAACTAGAAAGATAATCCTCAGCTGATCAAAAAGAAATTTTCTTCATCCAGATGTATTATTGTGAGACTTGGAAAAAATGATTTTAACCTGTTTCCCATGAGAAATACATCAAACCTGACAATTGCAAGCTTTAATAGGTTTTGTTTGTTAAATATTCAGGCCAAGAGGAATTGTTGCAAATGAGAGACAAAGGTCTGAAAAGGAAAACAATTCATTTGGCTTGTATTTAATCACTTTTTATTTTCTCAGTTCTTGGTCATGTCATTATCTGGCTTTGGTGCTTACATAACTTAATTAGGGAGTTTAGGCAGCAGTGGGAATAGGTGAGCAGAATGAAAGGGTAACAGTTTAAATGAATTGCCTGCAGATGCGTGATATGGACGGCGATGAAGTCTGTTAAGGACCTAATTCTAGAAGAAGCTTTTGACATTGATCATTTGTGAAAAGGAGAATTTTTTTTCTTATCCACATACGTGGTTTTATACACTTGTCTACAAACCTTAAGCGTTGGTGCATCTGATTATTCAGCTTGTGGAATTACCAACATCGAGCTACTTTGAAAGAGCAGACAAGGTTATTAACTTTGGCAGGAAATGAAAATTTGGCCTTAATATACGTGTGAAATTGAATTGTCTGTTGCACAAAGCTTTGAAGATTACCCATGCAAGATGAGAAAACTGTCTAAATTTAAAATTATTCTCAGTACAGTGCAAAGTAATTTTACAGACTGCATTTTTACTGCATTCAAATCCGTGAAGAGATTGGCTCTATTAATTTAGATTTAAACACAGACTCTGTATGTTCTAAAAATGGTAAATGAGATGGAAAATGTACTTTAAGGGGAAAAACGGGTTTCTAGAAATGCTGCAGCAGGCAGGCTTCCTACTCCATAGTTTTGTGTCTGCCCTGAAGCCATTTGGCTTCAGAGGAAAGGCTCTATCCACTGTGACAGGCATTTGAAATAAGGACATGCAGACAGCGTCTCAATTATATATATAGTATGTTTCAAGGGTAAGATATGAAGCAAATTAAGTAAGGCTGAAGACAAAAACTATTAGCAGCATTTACACTGTAGTTACCCAAATATCTGGGTCCTTAACAGGAAAAAAAAAAGTTAAGAACTGAATAGATTTCCTCTAATGTCAAATAACTTTTTATATTCCCTAGCTGGAAGGATCCTGGGGTAGGAGATTTGGTTATACCACTTTTTTACACAAAAATGTATCTTTTATCAAAAGAGAAATTGGACTTTCCTTTCCTAGTTTTTGAATTTCCTTAGCTCACAAGAATAAACCATTTCCTGTTTATTAAATTATTATTCATTAACTACATAGATGAATATTTGGAATCGTAATGTGATGACTATCACTTAACCATCAAAAAGAATGCATTAACACATTAAGCAGAGTACAGTAACAATTAGTGTACCATGTACCTCTTTACTGGCCAGTCCTGGAGTTCTTATTATTTAATAGAGTGGTAACAATGAGGAAACTGAAGACAAATAAGTGATTTGCCTATACCTCGTTCTCAGAGCGGCTTAGTGAACTAAAGCTAGAACTGAAGCTAGAACTTCAGTTCTAGCTGAGCTTAGAACTAAAGTTATCCAAACTTCCAGGTAACAGCATAAATCAACACTGCTGAGTAAGCAACACACCAAAATACTAGTAAAATGACTATCTTCTCATCATCATTTTTTTCCTTTTTGCTTGTCAGGCATTGCTGTGCTTTACTTACATCTCTATGATATATTTGGGGACCCTGTCTACCTACAGATGGCACATGGCTATGTAAAGAAAAGTCTGAACTGTTTGACCAAGCGTTCCATCACCTTCCTTTGTGGGGATGCAGGCCCCTTGGCGGCGGCCGCTGTACTGTATAACAAGATGAACAATGAGAAGCAAGCCGAAGAATGCATCACACGGTAATCGTGTCTCTTTGTGAGGGTTATTGTCTGATATCATTGTGCCATAATTCTGCATGCGTTATAAAAGAACCTTCTAATGAATTTACTTTTCTCTCAGATAAATATTACTACTGTTATTGAATAATTCTCATTATTACTATGTTACAGTTAAGGAATAATCATTATAATCCCTATTTTATTGCAAGATATAAGACACTGTCATGTTCCAGATCAAATACTTATTCAGTAACAAAAAGGATATCAAAAACCTAATGATATGATTACTAATCCAAGTGCTACCCAGGATCAAGAAGTCAGAGAACTGTGGTTCACATCCTGCTAGAGGGCTGGAGCGTTCTCCTAAGGAAGCACAGACTGATTCAAAGCTGTGTTTCCTAGGGGCTTTAACACATCCAAATTTTCATTCTTAATATAGATCATGGGGGTCTACTAGAAGCTTGTAAATTATGAAGAATTACTAAACTTTGTACTAATAAACTACAATTACTGGCCTCACCAGAGTTTATTTAGCGCTCAGGATTCTTATAAATCTGACTGCCACCCAGTTTTGCTTACCCATATTTAGTGGATAAGCACAAAATGCTATTAGGCTCCCACTGAGCATGCTAATGCTAACACCCAAAGTTCCAGCACCAGCAGCATTTTAACCAGGGGTCATCTCTGAGTTGACCGTGATTTATGATTCCCACTGTTCTTTCTTAGATATTACTGTTGTCAAGGATCTGTTGGTTAATCTTATACTGTGTAGTGGTGTATATTACATAAGAGTTTTTTTGACTTTTAAGATTAGATTGTGTTGTGTGTAAAGAAGGAATTATTTATACCTTCTTCATTTCACATACAATTCATTTCACGAACTTTATGGCCACCCTGTATATGAAAACTTTCCCTCCTCCCCTGTTTTTTCCTCATACAATGATATTTTCTTACTCTGACTTTTTCCACTGGAAATATCAACAAAAAACTGGGGGGCAAAGAATCTTTGGCTCTGCCTGTAATGATTTATGGATCATTAGATGAGATCACTTACTGAATTGACATAAACTTCAGAGTACCATTTTGTACATGCCCATACCTATACTCCATCTATCTGAGGCTAACATTATGTGTTACTAAAAAATAAATACCCCAGGACTTAGTGTATCTAGAGGAAAAACCTGAACATTCCACTCCAGGCTGAAAAATACTTAATATAAAAACCTGTCAACAAGCTTGATCAAAATGGCAAATGAAACAAAACAGTAACTTCCTAAAAAGTTTAAAGTCTGTGCCTTCTATACTATTAGACTTGCATAAGGCCAGTCAATATAAAAATTATTTCCATACTCACCTGTACTATGTGAAACACAGAAACTACCTTTTTTTCCATAGCCAATTTAAAGTCATTAGTCATAAATCTGCTTTACATGTCTGTAAGATACTCTTACTCAATGAATCACTCTTAAGTACCATCAAATTAAATTGTTGTGGTCTCAGTATTTTACATATAATGCCAGCCTTTTCCAAAATAAAAACAGGCAAATGTTAATAGTTTGCTATGTGAGGAATGTTAATAGGTGTTTGATGAAACAAAGTTTATGTATTCAAACAGATTCGGGTTTGTGTTCAAGCACTAGTTAGTATTAAATATGCATCTTCACTGGCCACTCCGTCTTCAGTAGCTTATATACCTGGGGAAACACAGTAACTCTAGGGATGAGCATTGCCAAACTTCTCCCATGGACAAGCCTTTTTCTTGATGGCATCTTAACTGCCTATTCTGAAAAACGCTTCAGGAAATGTTACCATGTATTAATATTAGTATATTAAAATTAAAGCAGAGTAAGCTAAGACTTTAGTCTTTTTGTAATAAAGGTATATTTGTTATTTATATATTTTAAACTATGACATTTCAGCAGTAATTTCTAGTCAGTAGGCTTCTTAAGGTGAAAAATACAGAATGTGGATATAATAAGAAAATATACTATTTGTGGCTGCAGCTTTGATTTTTCTAATTTTTTTACTTAAATGGCAAAACTGATTTTTTTTTTTTTTTGCAATTTTTGGCCGGGGCTGGGTTTGAACCCACCACCTCCAGCAAAGGGGGTTGGTGCCCTACTCCTTTGAGCCACAGGGGCTGCCCCGGCAAAACTGATTTTTTAATAAGGATTAGGAATGCAATATTATCTTGTTTCAGATAAAGATGATTTGTTAGCTTTGTGACACTGCTATATCAGTCTCAGTGTTCTCTTGGTCTTCTTTGACATGATGGGCTGTTAAGCAGGCAGAATTTAAAAATACTGTCCAGCTATTAACAAATTCCACTTCAAACAGAAGCACAGTGCACCAATGTCAAAAGCTGATAACAGACTGGAATGCTCGACCCCCAGAAACTAGCCTCATGTGGTAGTGGTAGCAGTCAGCAGGGGAAAGTTAGAACTAAATCATGAACATAGCAGCCATCATTTAGCCCCTATGGCTTACTAATGTTCTAATTGTGCTAGTCAACCTGGGAGGATTATTTCATTAAAACTTATTCTTTGGAATTTTAAATATGGTCATTTTTAAAGTAAAATAAATATATATATATAATTAAATAAAATAAAAATAAATAAATATATGTTTAATTATATATATTTTATATATAATTTTATATATATATAATTTATATATATAAGACAAACAGTCTCCAAAAGGAATGTGTGTGTGTTCATGCTCAAATTGTCCTACAAATGGCCCAGCAAGTGGAGCATAGGACAGCACATGATGCCAGTTCTTCTCTGCTGCCTGATATATATCATGTCTGTTTTTGTACACACACCCAGCTGCTTCTACATGGAGATATTGGTGCCACAACACAAAACAGAGTGCACTGCCTGTTAGATGGCTAACCTGACATGTATGGTGCTTTGGGGCCAGTGCTTAGAATGATGAATGACAAGACCTTAAGCTTTCTGACTAATAAATGCATAACCCTTCTTCTTTGTCATGTGATCAGTCACTAAAGGACTTCATTGTTTTTTTTCTTCTTTAGAGTTACAAACCTTTTGACAATACAAGGCAAAAAAACTCCCCAATAACACCCTGGGGAAATACTGCTAGGGAATGGAACAGAACGATCTTCTTTTATATCTTTATTCTTCCTTCAGTGACATTTCAGTGACTTTCCTATCTCTTCTAAAGATGGATTGCTATTATTAATAATATCAACATACTGAAACAAATAAATGGGGCTGCAATAATGTACTTGTGGATTTGAAAATTTCAGAAAACGCTTAAAATAACCAGTATGAGTGATAGTTGCCTGTATTCACATCTATTCAGGTGGCTGAGGTGGGAGGATCACTTGAGCCCAGGAATTCAAGTTCAGCCTGGGCAACATAGCAAGACCCCCGTCTCTATTAAAAAATCATAATAGGCTCGGCGCCT